CTGCCTTCGCTGTCCATCCCAACTGTGGCTCTGATGAATAAATGCATCAGTCACATGGGGGAGTTGATCCACGGGTCATTTAGCTCAGTGCCATATGGTCCAACTGTGCAGCCTCATAATGTTTTTAAAGTCAAAGTTCTGGTACTTCTCCTTTCTACTGAGATGTTACCATTACTGTCACTCATACAAGAACTCTTTAATACTAAAGTAAATTAAAATAATTAGAAAAAAGCTCTGCTGGCCTAGACATCCTAATTTCTGTCATGATATAAGTCTGTGTGGGACCGAGTAGTGAATATTAGCTTTCACCTTCAACAATTGTACACGTTATACACCTCAGGAATTAGAAAATTGTGTGTAGTTTAGATCGGCTGTCTCGCTGTGTGCGCACTCAGGTGATATGTGACAGATCTCACATTTGTAAAACCTGGTTGGTACAGCACCAGGGGACTGTGTGGCGAGACAGTATAAAAAGTAAAAACTTGACAGCAAATTATACTTGGTCTGACACTGAGAAGGTTTAGGGAAATGTTCTGCACACAAAACACTTTTTTTTTTAAACTAAACTGCATGTACATTGTTTCCCTCCAAGATGCAAAGTTTTTGCACAGCTCCTTAGTCAGTCACCTTGAAACTGATAGGCAACTCTTTTCGTGACATCTTCATCCCTTTGGTGTTTGCAGTGGATGAACATTGTAATTGTAAAAATGATCAAACTCCACCTCATCCTCCTGTATTTCCTCCACCTTCCTGTAATTATCACAAACAAGCCACCGCTGTTGGCTTTGACAAACATACAGAGCATAATTTCCTGTTAGCATAGGATTTCTCCCAGGAAACAGGAACCCCCTTCCTGTGTGTTTATACAGGCACATGTTGAAGCTTGAACTGGGTGAAAGACAAATACAAGTTTCAAGGTATCAATCAGCAAAAGTAAGAGAACAGCCAATTCTCTCCTCAAATATTAGTTATTAATATGAAAAAGTTGTGCGTCTTCAGAGACAGAAAAGAAACGGCAACCTCCTGCAATTCAGAAGCTGCAGCATTCAATAATGTGATTTTTACTTTTTCATTTGATTCTGTTTGTTGAGTCAGACGTTTGTGTGTACACACACACACACGCACACGCGCACACACACACACACACACACACACAGGGCGAGAGAGAAAAACACACACACAGTAACAAAAGACTACTATCTGCAAACACACTTAATATTACATTTAAATAAAAACCTCTGACACCTTTTGCTTTCACACATAAACAGACACCTTCAGCCCCCCCGGCCTACGCTGTTAAAACGCAGAGATAACCCGAGGCGTGGGGCTTAGCAACACTGTCACCGTGTCATTCACACACACACACTAAGAGCTGCATTTAAACCAGCAAAAGAAACATGGTTTGTTTGTCTTATAAACTCAAACAAAAGACCTGGACAAGTTCAAGTAGAGTTGACACATACAAGGGCTTGCAAACACTCACACAAACTCAGATACACTGACAAACACCTCATGCTGTGACTTCCAACCTTTTTTTCTGCTGGACACACACACACAGAAAGACACACCGTGTTAATAACAAGCATCAGGTTAATAGGAGGGCAGCAGCTGGCTGAAGTGACCGCAGACTACTGATTAGGCCAACTATAGTCACAGTTATTAGCCGCCCTGTCATCTGGTACCAGGCCTGCCGTTCCCAGAGGATTGCTAACCGGACAGCTCTCAAGGTAATGATACATTTTTCAACTGGTCATTGTGGGATGCAGGTGATTTATTCAAGATAACATACACACTGCTATACAGTATTTTATTCTTGGTAAAAGGCAAGAACTTAACTCATCCAGGAATGGTAATGCTGTGGATCAGTCGGTCCACCACTTTAGTCCAGACTGAAATATCTCAACAACCATCAGATGGATTGCAATGAAATGTGGTTCAGACTTTCACCGTCACATCAAGATGAATTGAAATAACTTTGGCGATATATTATCTTTGGTGATATATTATCGTTGTCATCATCCGATCAACATTTCAATATGTCCAGTAAAATATCTGCACAACTAATGACATTTCCTCAACTTTACTTTGTGAACGTACTAATAAGCAAATGTTAGCAAAACTAAGATGGTGAAAAAGGTAAAAACTGTACTTGTGTTGTTACCATTTTCATTTTGACCAAGTTAGCAGGCTGACGTTAGCATTCAGCTCAAATCAGTTTGTCAAAGTACAGTTCAAAGAGCTGTTGGCATTCGTCTTGTTTTTCTATTGCTGAGGATTAATTTACTCAATGTGACCATGGTCCAACAAGCAATATAGATGACAGTAAGTAAGTAGCAAGTTTGAATATTGGTGTTATCATGTTAAAGGCATTAAAAAAAATACGAGTCTTCTCTCACTCATGCACCTGCATCCTAATCAGGCCCTGCAAAAAGGTGTTCCGGTACCCATATAGCACCAAATGGAGTTGTGATTTCCTGTCCCACCATTTAGTTATTAAAGGAAATGCCAGTTGAAACGAGGTGGGTTCTACCAGAGTCGCTAGCCAATTTCACAGAGCTGGCAGCCACAGTCCAAGAAGCATTTGGCTGGTGGCTGACAGTTCTGCTTGCCGTGACTTGTCCTGAGCTCCTTGCCTGAGGGGAGGGAAGTGGAGGACAAGAGACAATTCACTTGAAAACACTGTAATCATGCCTCAAAGGCATTCAGTCCATCAGCCTGAGTACTGAAACATTCCTCTTCCTCAGCAACACACGTCTTTCCTTTTCTATGCTTCTCTTCTGTGGGTAATATTCAAAAAGCTCCATATTTCCCACAAGTGATACCACTGATAACCTTTATTTAATCAAAGCAGTCCACACTTATTGGCACTTATTGTGCCAAAAAGCTAATTAAACTTCGAAGAATATTGTGTTCCCGTTAACCTTATTTAATTTTCCTGGGATTACATTATTTGTTCTCCCATAATGTAATGTATGGCATAATATAAAAATATCCTGAAGCCATTTATTCAATATCCCCTCAGCTTTAAGATAAATATAGTGTGCTTGAAAAGATTGGAGACTTTACAAAGAGTGCCAACACGGGAAATTAAAAACCCCTTCTTTTATATTTTTTGGTTGCCTTTTTTCTAACTATATTGCTACTATTGCTTGAGAACATTCAATTATTTAAACATTTTAATAAACCCTGATGTGAAGTAAAGAGTCGGGATAGAAAAGAGTGAGAAAGTGTGTTTTCCTCGTCCAACACTGAAAGAATCTGAAGGAAACCAAAGCCTCGACCGCCTGCTTTCAATGCACCTCATATCTCCTTAACGCTCTTATTTTGGCTTTTGTCACCGTCACAAGAGGGATTTTTTAATATATATTAATTACTTGAGCTTGGCTTGTAACGTCTGTATTTGTGTTGCTTTAATTGGGCCAACTGGGCTTTTCAAACCTTAATATGATCTTGTAATATCTGCTACTTGGTGAATGCTTTCATCCTTCTCTTAGTGCGTTGGCCCCAGTTGGAATTGGACTCCGACAGTAACTTCGGCAGTGTGACTGTGATACTTTATGTATCAACACACACATTTATTCTAACACAGACAACTTGGAATAATTGAATTTAGAATTGGAAACCTACAAAATAAGTACAGATTGTATGTGAAGGTTTCCTGCTTTGCACTTATTCTGTTAAATAAACACATTTATCAGTTCAGTATCATCCATCCAGCAGGCTGTCACTCTCTGTGTGTGTGTGTGTGTGTGTGTGTGTGTGTGCGCGCGCAACCGTTTCTAATATCCTGTGTATGCATCACTCTGTTTACTGAGCAGAAACACACACACAGACAAATAGATGAAGGCGACCTGAAGGTTGGTTGCTGAGCTAATCAATGGACGTGCAAATGCAACGAACAGACGGATAGGTGGATGAAAGGTGGCAATGGCCTCATCTGATAAGGCCTTTTCTAGTTAGTGTATCGTCAGTCTTCCTTGAGGATAAAAGGATGGAAGAGAGAAAGAAAGGAAGAGAGAGAAGGAGACACAGGTGCCTGTATAGCCACTGTTAGCAAAGTGTCACTACAAAATTACAAAATTGTCGTGTAACATTATTCAATTTATTGGCAACTCACCTTATTGTCAATATTTTAGATGTGTGCGCAACCCAGAATGTCAGTCCAGGAGAAACCTGTAGAGGGGTCAGACACTCAAGGAGACCATGCAGCCATGCAGGTTGAATAGAAATATGACCAGAATAAATAAATGAGATTAGAGCAGGTAAAAAATAGGCTGCATGAATGACTGTGACCAGACATCAACAATAACAATGTCAGTTGAACCTCTGCTACTGGAGTGCAGAGATTGTTTTTATTCCTGTGGATCATATTCACATGCAGACCAACTGGGCAAAATCTGTGGTCGCTTGCTGAAATATCTTGTGCCACAGTACTGCAGCACATCCTGCTGGTAGCTCTTTGGTAGTACATCAAGAAAGAGAGAGAGAGGGCGTCATATTCACTTTTGACCAATCTAGGAGGGGAGGAAACGGCACAGGACAGAGGAGGCAATGTGTTCATCTTGAGATCAGTGAAGACATGCTGCAGTTAGTTTGATACCTCAGATATTTTCTCTTGTCTCAGATTTCCATTATAGTGCCTTAAAACAGTGGTTCTCCACATTTTTTGCTGGTGGCCTCTTAAATTGAGGCAATGAGTTAGCAGTTTTTATAATAAATTCTAAATGAATTCAGAAAAACTCTCTCTCTCTTATGCCTTGAATCTGCTGACCTCACAGATTTGGGAACCACTGCCTAATATCATGACATGATGGCGCTGTATGTTACAGGTCTATCAGAGCTTTTATTTCTACTACACAATAAAATAATAAACAAAAAGCAAGCTTTTGTGATTTTTAGACAGCCAACAGCTTCATGGGACTAAACCAGCACTAAATCCATCATGTCGAATAAGTACAAAGACTTCAGACAGTCCTAAAGATGAAACCATAAGCACAGTGTAGAATCAGTTTGTTTATTAAACACTTAATCAACTGTTTAATACATCAGAACATCAGAATTAGCTTTAAGCTGCTTTGTCAAAAACAGACTGTGGTACTGTGTGAGCTTATATCGTCGTCAAACCCAACGTTAAATCTCTGGTAGCGGTGAAAATAAACACAATTGAAAATGTTGGGGCCCCCACTCTGGCCTCATGAGGTGAACACAAAGCAAAAAGAATCCCTTTAATTAAGCGAGTGAACCAACCATCAAAGCTGAAGTAGAAAATTGACAATATCCACAGCACAATGTAGAAGGAAATACATTCTGTCGGAACATTGCTTTTGAAACCGCGGTTGTGCTTTTTGAAGGTGGCGTCCATAAAATACTGATTGTCTACAGAACTGCGGCACGATCACCTGTTACACGAGCACTTCTGATATACAAGGTCAGAGATAAACAGATCTGGGAACAGAACAAGAGAAAAGATGACCACCAACTGTGATTAGCAGCAACATGAGGTCTTAAGGCAAATGCTTTCAGGCTTTATTGTTGAACAGTCAGTGAGCCCGTTTCAGCCAACTAACGACCACAGAAGTCCCTCCAGACGTTTTAATACATGTGAAGGGACACGTGTCACACTTCTGCATACTTTCATTTGCTAAACCTCAACCGTTATCATAACCAACCTTTCCAAACGGCCTCCAGACAAACAAGAAACATTTCCGTCTTCTTTTTCAGAATCACAACCTTCCAGCCATTTCCCCAAACTTCACCAATGTGTAGATATCAGCTTTTAAAGAATAATGATATCTCTACAGTAGACTAATGAAAAGCCTCGAGAAGAATCACTAATGCAGAACAAGTCATTTTTGTCACGCTACCTGCTGATTGGCTGTGTGGAAAAATCGTATTAAAGAACTCTGTAAACGTATCCAAAAATGTCAAAAACTCTAATGTCCAGGGTCCCTATTATATCTTCTCCAAACACTGCAAACTCAAAACAACAAAATATCCATGACCTTTACATGAGCAATGTTCAGTAGTATGTTGTATGGCATCACCCGAGCGAACAGTTTTGAGATCAGCAACTAACACAACATGTCATGAATGTTCATCAACCAGAAAACATCACCAATGTCTGTAAAATGTTCCATAGTAATTTGATACGCTTCTTGTTTACACAGCTGAGGAAGTGTTGTTCTTTTATCATTGTCCTGAAAATGGAGCGTTGCAGAAAGCATGTTAAGAACTACTTCACCTGTGAAATGATTTGTCAGATAACTCAGTCCTACAAGTCAAGAGACTGAAGAAGCGCTTTGGATTAGAAGCCGAATGCCGACAGAAGCACAGATTTACAGGAATCATGCATTTCACTGCGTACAACACCGAAGCACATTGAGGAACAACAAATGAGACGCCCACCGAACAACTGACTTCGGAGACTTGCAGGCAGTTCACTGTGACGTACGCCGTGGGTTAATTCTACTGTTTGGCAATAAAGATTTCCTGAATATATGTTCATGTTGAACAGAAAAAGTTTCCTGCATTTGTATTCAGTAATAACTTCTCTTCAGGACTAAATTTAGTAAAAATTCAATGAACCAGGCAGTGTTGTGTTGTCTAAAACAAACAAGTAATGTTAAGTTATGGATTGTAACTTTTTGGGGTGAAGGCGTAGCCCTCCAAGAGTTGTAGCAGTTGGGTTCATCCCCATGCACAGGCGCAGTCTTGATGATTGTTTTGGCGCCCTTGTGCTCTGCACGGCCCAACCTTACATCCGCACTCGCGTCCATAGTTCTGCTCCCAATTTGAACCTTTATTTCTTCAGTGACCGAAGGCGGAACCAGAGGGGCCCACAGCTTGGAGGGCTACGTCGACACTCGTATCTGGAGTTACAAATGGTCACTAACGTTTCGTGTTGTATGGGCTTGGCCCTCTTAGAGCTGTTGCTATTGGATAAAAGGTGAAGCTGATATCGTCACTGTGACACCAATGTCCCCAAGCAGAAAACATACAACAGTTCACAGACTGTAACTTCCACACATTATAAGGCGGGGAGGCCCCGACTGTGCACGTCTTTCATTTACGGGCACGCAATAAATCTTTACGTTTGCAAATACCTGCAAGGACAAACCCAATAGCGACAGCTCTTCGGGGAGAAGCCTATACGATATAGAAACAAGTGTTTACTCAGGAGTTAAACATAGATTACAGACACATACTGTATAAGCAACTTGAGCATCACTAATCCATGCTCTACTTTTTTGTTACCATATAGTTTTCAATTTGATCTTCTCATGCTAGTATGTCTAAGCACATGGTGGCACAGTGTATACAAATAGTCAATTCTGATGATATTTTGGAGGCTAATGAGATACAAATCTATTTATATCAACTTTAAGCCTTCTTAAGTCCAGCTAACCACATTAAAGGGTAATTTCAATCAAATAATAATAAAGAAACAATTAATTTGTGGAGGTTCTGTTGCTGCCATTCCAGTATATTGACAAGATATTTCCAGAATCTGTGCTCCCATACAGTATAGGTATGTATATATGCATATACATATTCAAATTCTGTTTTTAAATAGCAAGCTTTTGTCACCTAAGTGCTTTTGTCAATACAAAACAAAAGTGTAATAGGTCAAGTGCTCATATAGTAATCCTCCCCTTTAATTCTTAAAACATAAAAGAATATAAAATATAATATATATATTATCAACAGAATCTACTCTTTGCTACAAGGACATCTTGATTCCCAATTAAATCTGGTTGGCAGCACATGACACTAACTAATTGTAGTTTAGTAATTATTTGGCATTTCCACTGGAATGAAACACCTAGTTTTTTGGCAATAAATGCAACACGTCTTAGAAATGTTTCTCAAATCTTTCCTTAAATTGTAAACATGTTGAGAGAGAAGATTTGCACTCTGACGTGTCTTTACAAATAATGACATCTTATGTCAAAGTGGAAGTTTCTTGTTTGCATGTGTCATCTTAAAAAAACAAAAAATAAGGGGTAATTTATCCTTTAAATAATATGTATCAGGTCTCCAAGATGTTCCCATTGCTGTAGTTTATCTGATAAACACCATTCTTCTAAAGCAGTACCTCCTCAGTTGGCTTGTGCGTTCAGTCTTTAGTAACTGTTCTATATACATTGTGCCCGTTAATGTCACATACATTTCATCACGCAAACTAATTCCTAGCAGCTATATATCTACCTGGGCATCGAATCATTTTTACATTTGTTTTTCACACGACAAGGGTAGAAATCTGTATTTTTTTCTATTCGACACACTGGTTGCCCAAACAGGAAAAAACACCCTGAAACCAGACTTGTGATTTACGGACTGTAGCTGTAGTATAAATGCTCCCTCTCTGTGTCGCCCTGTCTCTCCCAGCAGAGGGCAGTGTTGAGCCATCAGGAGCTTAAGTCCATGGTTGGACACTAACTGGGGGAGAGGTCAATGACTGTCGACATATAAAATACTCTTCCTTTTTGTTACATTTGTCAGATTGTACTTGTTCATCTCCTGGTTTTAATGACAAAGCTCACCTCTCGTCCTTTCATTAGGACTGAGAGCCTTTGTGAGCTCATTGAAGCAGTTGGATCACCATCTGTAGAAGTGTTGACTCTTTTATGCCTCTAAATCCAAAGAAAACTCAATCAAGCCCAACCTTGCATGTTTTGTCTACAGGTTGAATAATTTACTTGACTCGTATACCTTCTTAAACACACCGTCTCTCAGTCATCCACCTTGTCCAAACATCATTGGAACAGAAAGAGTGCGAGTCGTGTTTCAAGTCGTCCACGTTACTCTGTCGCTGTGGTTAGGAGGTCAAGTCCTAAACCTTCTAGTCCCCGTGTTATTACTGCACTACTCATCTATGAGGGATTCTGTCACGGCTCTGCTCAAACTTATGCCTCCTCCATCACCTCCATGACTATTGTCCTGGCTCCGGTCAGGATCAGGCTGCTGACGGTCCGGTAGTCCTGAGAGAGGACGTTGCGTCCGTTCACCGACACCACGAAGTGACACACCTTCAGAAGAGAAGGACAGAGAGAAGAGAGTCAATCAAACAAACGAATCAACGAATCGAACAATATTGACCATCAACCAGGAGTCGAAGAGAAAGCAATATAAGAGAAAAACAAGAGACATACAAGAAATACTGTCTTTGGGGACTAAAATACTTAATTGCTTTGATTTGGAGATATTGTTTGACGGTAACGTTATGTGGAAATGTTTTTAATATCTTTTTAAATTACAGAATATCTTTTTCACGGGAGATCTGGCCAAGAGCACATCAATACAGTGTTTAGAACAAGATACACGCAACATTTAAAACACAAAAACGACATCACATTACACTGTTTAAAACAACATGCATACAAATGTTGAAAAATATAGATGTTATGCAGTGTTTGGAACATAATCAACATGTTGATCTATGGTAGAGAAGTGGATTATGCTGCAGGAGTGATTTGAGTTTCTATGGACATTTTAGTGCTTATTCTTCATCTAACTGGACTACAACTATATTCAAGGGTTAATCCCGAGCTTCAAGAGCCTCGGAAGTTCAAGGCTTACTGTGTATACCAACAGATTTTTTATAATTTAGTTAGAAATCTGTTTTGTTTGCTAAACTATAGTACATATCAACTGACATAATGAGGACCTGCAATGAGCTGTAATAAGCTTTCTTGCCAAGACTTCAATGAGAGAATTTACACCACTCTCATATCTGTACTATACATATGTAGCTGGACCCAGCAGATGGTTAGCTTAGCTTAGCACAAACACTGGAGACAGGGGAAAAAGCTAGCCTGGTTCTATCCAATGGTAACACAATCCACCTACCAGCACCTCTCAAGCAAGTTTACACATTCTATCTTGTTTGTTTCATCTGTACAAAAAAACAAAGTGTAAAAACGGCACGTTGCCATTTTACAGTTGAGTCTCCACTTGTGTCCACTTCCTGGTGGGGACAGATACGAGAGTGGTGTCAATCTTCATATCTAACGCACAGCGAAAATGCAACATGATGCTGCCGTTTGGCTCTTTGCAAGCTATTACAAGAGCACACACATACGCAAGCACACCGCTCCCAAAAGTGTTCCAAAAGCTCTGCAAGATGCAAGTTCGAGGAATGTCCCAGAAAACTAAAGCACACAATCACTCTGAAATTTATAATGGCTATAAATCGATAAAGTGTAGAAGTAGACGGCTGAGTGACGATGGAAGAAAACCTTTTACAGATGTGATTCACGGGGCCTTGACTCAGGAAACGATTACAGGGAGCAGCTATTTAAACCCTTACTGCTCCTGGCATAAACTGATGTTACGTACAGGTTACTATTTCTGTATTTTCACAGCAATTGCGACTAGGCCTTGATGAAAGTTTCAGATCAGAATAGGCAGATGGCTTAAGGGGAAAGAGAGATTAAAAGAGCGATAGAGGAAAGAAAGCCTAGACTGTTAATTCTGTGCTGCAGAGGAGTTTCAGACTCTCGCTGTCATCAATATAAACCTCTGGAGAACTGTTCCTGTGCTAGTACATTTCTACTTAGCTTATGTGCCTTACTCACTAACATAGAACCATATATGTGACATACGATTGTGTACCTAGCTGAATGGTAACAAGACTATATGGGGTATTTCTGCCTTTGCTTCCATAAGAGGAAGTAGGGTTAGGAAGTAACTGAATGGGGGTGCGTTTAACCAGAGTGTCCCAGAGACAATCAAGTGTAATAAAGAGGTATGTCTTTGTGTGACGAGGCTCAGAAGAGGAAGGGGATGACTGGAGGTGTCAATGGGCAGTTTGAAACTGCTGATCAATTGTTAAAATGTAAATACATGATGTTCCCCCACCCTGTGTGCTGAGGTGCTTATAAGCAATAGAGACACTGCACTCTGAACTCTTTAACTCTTTCCAACTCCAACACCTCCCCCACCCCCCCTTTTCTCTCCCACTGATGCTTCTTCTCTCCTTTCAGGCTGCGGTCTCTGTGTTGGCTGAGGCCCAGCTGCACTTAATGGCTCCTTGCTCTCAGAGGGTTAAAGTCACTCTCACACAGCGGAAGGAAAGAGACAGAAACGGGCATATAGAGAAGAGAGAGAGAGAGAATAATCAACACGTGTTGGGAGGCCTCGCTGAGATATTGATGAAGCAATAACAGCTGTACGCAGCGTAGAGAATAGTGCCTCTTTACCAAAATACTCAGGTGCTGGAAGACCTGAGGCCATGTTTGTCTTTACGTCCCTTCTTGAGGAATCAGAAAGCCAAAGAAACAATAACTGAGTTGAAACCACACGTTAGGGCTCCCTGGTAGGTTGGTGTCTTGAAGAAACTGCTTGACATTTTGGAAAGTATTTGACTTCTTGCCAAGAATGAATGAAAGTCACAAATCAAACCAATTGTCCAATAAGAATTTGGGCAATTAATCAGGCATCATGACCTCCCTCAAACTCAATGTCAAATGAAAGGGAACCTGGCCTGAATCTAAAATGAATTATGGCAACCAATTTGGGGTTTAAGTCAGGATTAATCCACACAGTCTGTTTCTTTAGCTGACTAACCAACACTTTAGCTTTCTGGTTGCCTGGCAGCCTCACGGTGACTACAAGACTCCAGGGCCTCTCAGGATTTGCATGAATAGGCATAGAAGAGTATTTCCCAAAACGCTGAACCTTTCCTTCATATATATACATACATATACACATACACATACATATATATATATACATATACACATACACATATATACATATACACATATACACACATATATATATATACATATACACATATACACACATACATATATATACATATACACATATACACACATACATATATACACATATACACACATACATATACACATATACACACATACATATACACATATACACACATACATATATATACATATACACATATACACACATATACACACATACATATATACACATATACACACATACATATATACACATATACACACATACATATATACACATATACACACATACATATACACATATACACACATACATA